GGGTCTTTTGCTTAAGCCACTGACCTGGTAAGAGCAAAGACCCTGACTTAAGTTAGCTAATAAACTGTCCTATTGCATTTGCATTAGCGTGGGTTAGCGTCGTCTTCTCTTCCGAAATTCTCCTTTACAGCCTGGGCACAACACTAGTGACAAATTATAAAGAGCATGAATTTATAGCAACAGAAAATTGATTTAAAAATCTAAAGAGCCATTAAGATATTAAAAATAAATTACTGCAATCTATGCTCCATATATAATCACAGGTATATTAATTTACAGTAGGTGTAGAAGTATAAGAACACTTGACAAGCTATGTACCTAATTATACAGATAATAGTTGGTATTTAGTTGCTTTTAAGTAGTACTTATAAAATATTTTGATATATTTGTATAAATAAATGTCTGAAAGTATATGTATATCACATCAGCAATGTGGCTTATAGAATATCACATTTTTCCTATTTTGCTCCTTTAGCTAAAATTTTCCAAATACACTAAATTTTTCATGTAACCAATCAATAATCAAGAAACGTGGTCTCTGTATGAGATTCTGCTATGATATGTCTCAGATTAAGCAATGTCACACTGAAATGAAGCTAAACTTGTATTTGATAATATGAGTCTTTTGTTTACTGCTGGACTGTGTCTCATGCCTTCCCTGTCTCCTAGGACACTATCTCCAGTGACGCAGTCATTACCATGTTTTGTTTTTTCTCTAATTTCCTTACTCAGAAGATTCATTAGCGACTCTGTGTGAAGGTCACCAAGGACTCTTTGTTTATTCACTTATTAGCATTTTTACCAACTAAAGCAAATGTGAAGCCAGATACAGTAAACTCACTTGCTGCCCTGAGAGGTCAAAAGAGTAGCTCTCCTGAAACTGGGGGAAATTCCTGACAGTCCATAACCCTCTTCTTCTTCTTCTTATTTGTTTTACACATTTTTTGTGGAAACCATAATATTACGATAAGGAAGTCCTGTAACCGATTAAAGATGGATATGTCAGAAAGCTCTATGCTTCCAGAGTTGTCATGAATATGACAGTGGATGCAAAGAAAAATCAGAAGTTCACATAAAAATCACCTTTTTCAACCTAGAAGTCTTAAGACTTGAAGTGTTTCAACAGCCAACACAGCAGTAATAACAGTAAGTGAGATAAATTTGTCATTTTAATTGTGTTGACTATTATATGATCTGAGAGCCATGGTAGCGTAGTGTCTAAGGCACTTGACTGCTAACCAGAAGGGTGGTGGTTCAAACACACCAGCCACTCCTTGGTAGGAAGATTGGGCAATCTACTTCTCTAGTGATACTGCCTCGGAAACCCAAGGAGGAGTCGCTATGAGTCAGGTCTGACTTGACGGCACATAACAACAACAACAATTATGTGATCTAAGTCTTGTTATGCTCTAGAGGAAAATTATATTTTATAACTCTCTTTAAAATCAGAGATTTAACTCATAATTTACATAATTGGCAAACTGTCTATTTTCTCATTTTTTACAATGAAGTTTCCTTAGATCTATAAATGTCATTTTCTAGGATATTTTATGCATAGGACTATATTGGCATTTAAAGGACTTAAGAAGTTTATTATCTACATAGTCAACCTCACACAGTAAAGATCTACATAAGCATATAATTATATAAGCGTACTTCACAATCCCCCAAAAGAATAACATACTAGCTGAAGTTACATCAGCTCATTAGCCTTTTCTGTCCACATTGCAAGGATATATTTTGAAAGTAAAATGAACAAAAACTAGTTGGTCATATTTCACTGTCAGTCATCTTTTAAATCTTGTTTTATTATACCTTGTAGTATCTTGTTGTTGTGTTGTTGTTATGTGTTGTCGAGTTGTCTCCGACTCATCATGACCCCTCCTTGGGTTTCTGAGGTGTTATCTCTACAGAAGTAGATTTCCCCATCTTCCTTCCAAGGAGTGGCTGGTGGGTTTGGACCTCCAACCTTCTGGTCAACAGTCAAATGCCTTAGGCACTATGCCACCCGAGCTCCAATGTAGTATCCTAAGGGGGGGACTGAAAATGTTTCTAGAGCTCTGAGTAATGTCCAGTGTTGGTAAGGCTGAATACATTTACTAGGTGACATACCTGTTACCTGAGACATTAGAAAGAGGGTTGGAGGAAGCTAGAGAGGATTATGAGCTTTATTTCATGTACACTTTGGTTTGATCTAATATAATTGTTCAATGTACCCATAAATTCTCTGAGAGTGTTCTAGCCATCATGCAAACTGTGAGCTAGATCAATTCTTTCTTATCTTGGAGTCAGTACTCATGAAGTAATAACTGTATTCATCTATTAGATAGAATGGACTCTGTCCCACAACCACAAAAACAGAAAGAACAAGTGTCAAGCAAATACATCAAACAATCATGCTTCAGGTACACATCATTTTTGCTCCTTATGAGGTGAGAGACTAGTAAGCACTCAAATGTAATCCTGGTAAGAGTGTGGATTTGTAAAGTAGAATCTTTTAATAAAACATTTCCATTAACAAGAAAAATCTGAATATGATGATGTAATACTGTTAAAATGATGTGTAATAAAATAACTCGGAGTATTACATGCAGATCAGACAGAAGTCAAGAGTCACTGATGAGAAACCATACGGTAACAACATTCATACTCCTGGGACTGACTGATGACCCACAACTACAGGTTTTGTTTTTCATCTTTCTCTTTCTCACCTACATGTTGAGTGTAACTGGGAACGGGACCATCATCATACTCATCTCACTGGATTCTCACCTTAAAACAACTATGTACTTTTTTCTACAAAATTTCTCCTTTTTAGAGATCTCATTCACATCTGTCTCAATTCCCAGATACTTGTATTACATAGGAACAGGTAACAAGCTCATTACTTACAGTGCCTGTGTCTGTCAAGTATATTTTAAGCACCTCTTTGGTGTAACAGAATTTTTCCTTCTAGCTGCCATGTCCTACGACCGCTATGTGGCCATCTGCAAACCCTTGCATTATGTGACCATCATGAGCAACACCATCTGCAGAAGACTTGTCTTTTGCTGTTGGGTGGCTGGTCTGTGTATTATAACCCCGCCACTGAGCCTGGGCTTAAATCTTGAATTCTGTGATTCTAATATCATTGATAACTTTCTCTGTGATGCATTTTCCCTCTTGAAGATCTCTTGTTCAAATACTTGGTTCATAGAACAGACTGTTATAATCTGTGCTGTGTTAGCTCTCATTATAACACTTATGTGTGTCATTCTGTCCTACATTTACATCATCAGGACAATTCTATGATTTCCATATGTTATAATCTGTGCTGTGTTAGCTCTCATTATAACACTTATGTGTGTCATTTTGTCCTACATTTACATCATCAGGACAATTCTACGATTTCCATCTGTCCAGCAAAAGAAAAAAGCCTTTTCTACCTGTTCTTCCCACATGATTGTTGTTTCTATCACCTATGGCACCTGCATATTTGTCTACATCAAACCTTCAGCAAAAGAATCCATGGCCATTAATAAAGGTGTGTCAGTGCTCACAACTTCCATTGCCCCTATGCTGAACCCTTTCATTTACACCCTGAGGAACAAGCAGGTAAAGCAAGCCTTCAATGACTTAGTCAAAACACTTGTAATATTTTCCAGGAAATAAATGGACGTGAATTACAGATTATACATATATCGTGAACTTCTCAAATTCTCCAGTCATGTTAGTTTTCATAAAACACTGTCTCACTTATCCTAGTCTAGTCAGTCATTTTCTAACAAACATTCTCTAATAACAGGCATGTTAAGAGCATTCTAAAATTGAAACGCTGGTTTCATCTCCAAATCAATAATAACAAAAAATAAAATACAACCAAATCAAATGAAGGTATTATGTGTCCAAATAAAGAACATTAAAAGAGAAATGAAAGGTTATTTTATTTATTTTTTTTTTACATTTTTCAGCAAAAGCATAAGTAATGATCACCATTCCTTGTTCCAATGAAATCTTCTCAAATG